TCTACTCTTACACACCACCAGCCTATATTTCTATGGATGATGCAATGTACAAGAATGCATGACTTTTTATGAACATTTTCATGAATTGCATAAGGCATAGAGGTAAGTTTCCATCCCCTATCGGACCCTATGTCGATTTATATTCTATCGAATTTATTCCCCTTCTTTCGAATGCAAAGAATAAATCATCTACAATCACATAATAATTGGCCAAATAATTATGGAAGCATTCAAATCATATAAACCAAACATTTGTCCAATCGAAACTAATGTTGAATTTATGAAATAACGGAAATTTAAATCATCAAAAGGTTCATCAAATTCCTAATGAACAAAAACCCTAGCCTATAATCATCATTTCAAAATCAAGAAATTGAAAAACGAAATTAAAAGATAATAAAAATACACCCGTATGGAATTTCTTCAATTCGTGTGTATAATCTTCAATCCCGTCTCGAGCCCGTGTGAAATTGAATCCAAAATCAAGTTTCTTGCCTCCAATTTTGGTCTCTCCCTTCTCCCTGGTCGTTTCTGCCCTTCATCTGATGAATTTGGGTATTTATATCGCGTCCAAATTAAGTAGGAAAGGAGTTTCAACCAAAACGAAAAACTACGCCCGAGGTTTCAAAAACGAACTATGCGACCGCATAGAAGGAATCTATGCGGTCGCATAGTTCAAATTATTTTGGCCCATTGAATCCCTGAAGCCTTCTATGCGACCGCATAGAAGGTTACACTATGCGGTCGCATAGAAGTAACCATCTATGTGGTTTGTTCAATTTGGTCGCTGAACTTCTTTGTTGCTTCTCTTGACTTCTTTCTTCGATTTCTTCATCTTTTCAACAAATTTTATCTTCCAATTGATGATTGAGACCATTAATTCTCATGCCCCTCATTCGGCACTTCTTTTGAGTATTTGCGCTTTAGTCCTCCAACTTTCAATTGTCTTCATTTCAGTCCCTCTTCAATATTTTCTTCTTCCATTTGTTTTGCTTTGTCATTGAGCTCATACTTGGCATGTTTTCACTCTCGTTTTGCATTTAGCTCAACTTTTCAATATTTGCACATTTGGTCCTCGAACTATCAAATTGTTGCGTTTTGGTCCTTCTTCGGCTCTTTTTTCCTGAATTCCACAATTTCCATTAAATTACCTACAATGCATGAATTTAACTGGATTAAGTCACAATTCAACCATTTTATCCATGTTTAAGTCATGTTTGTGAACCAAATAAGTGTGTAAAAACACACTTATCAATAAGATAATGAAAATGAATTTATTAAGAAATGCAGGTAGAATTGATTAGCAGAAATTCCGAGGGCAATGTTGAGGTAAGACATGTCATAAACCTGCAACAAAATGTTTTAATCTCGGAGATTCTAGTCTCAAATGCAAGCGCTTCAGCCCTACGCCTAATGGGTTCACTCATAAGTCATCTGACAGTAAGCACCCCAGAAGCAACTTATGCAGTGGGACTAGAGGGATCAGATTTCTTTAGGAGGCCTCCAGTTCTGGCAAATTTTAGCATTATTCCTCCCGACTTTGGCAACAGAAACGATCAGGTTTCCGAGAAACTCTGGGGCCATATTGCACTTAACAAACTTATTCTCAGACAGAACACTGATGATGACTTGAAAAGCACGAGGAGAAACATAGAAGAAGAGCGGAAGGGTGAAGAAAAAGACAACCAAAAGCATTTGACAGACAAAATGAGCAGGATTTATACCAGTGCACCTCGAAACTTCACGGTCATTGATCGGGTAAACAAATTTTAACTTATTTTCTTCTAATTCTTACTCTGCTGACTCTCAGTCTTATTCTTTTCCTATCTGGGGGCATTGCATTTTGCCTGTTCTTATGGATTTTCTGTCTGAACCCCAACAAGATGGGTAACATGAAGATTGGACATGCTGCCCAAAGCCATCTGTCCATATAAATAGCTTATAAAAATGATCAAAATTATACCTACATGTAGCCAAGTGTTAGCATTGTTTGGACATGTCAATGTATAATGAACCATTTTCTATCTTTAACATCATGTCCCCCTTGAAATAACAGGGTAGAAGAAACTCAGTGGTAATTAGAAGAGATGGGTTCAATGAACTTTACATGTTCAGTCCTGGATCAAGACACAAATGGTACGGCAAATATTCTTATATATGCGTAGGTCAAGCTGCCCTGCTGCAACCCATTAGCTTGAACTCACAAAGTGAATGGAGAGGAGGACAACATCTACACAACCCCAATTTCTGAAATGCAAGCGGAGAACCTTCTACATGGCTAAATAATTTTTGAACAGAGAAAGCAAATTCTTTCAGACTGTGCAGATATAACATGCTTTCTCTATTTTAAGTTCCCACCGAGTCTTCACGTTAGACCTTGAAATATTATGAGAATTCTCCACAATTTTTCATAAGATATTCAGAGTAGGGTTGAATCTAACAATCACCAATACAGTGCTCAACATCAATTCAGTGAAGGATTTTGTTGTCACTATAGTTGATTCTAAATCCATCACACCCAACAAGATAAGCTAGATGCAAGATTGACACATGAATTAAATATCTTGAATTTTAGCTTTCTTACATATGCAGCATATACTGAAATTGACCAGTAGAGAGAAAAGCAGGACTCCTAATGTATCAGGAGAAATAGCTTTCCTAAAGCACTTCTGGTTGCTAAATCCTGTTTAGCATCTCAAGCTATTATTATCTAAGGTTTTTGAAATTGATCAAATCACTAATTTAAGCAAGCCAGGTTAGGTGGGAACAAGAACATAGCTGGAGTTCTGATGATCAAACCCCAGCAAAAATAAAAATACAACAAATAGGACTAAAAGAAGACATCCCAATATTTCGCGACCAGGTTTTCTATGGACTTTTTGAATATTGGCACTCTGAGATTCAGTTTGATTTCCACAAACCTCTGGTGACACTTGCGAATCCGTATCAGGAAGCACATCTCCGGTTGAAGATACCGATTCTGATTTACCATGAAACAGTTCCCCACCGCAGGAGAAGTTTTTGCCCCTTTCAATGTTACAGTGCATGCCCTGAGCAAGGCCATTTTGTTCATGCTTTGATGTAGGAGCCCACTGAAATTTACTCGAGAATGGACTTTCGAACCTTTTAGTTTGTCTCTCGGAGAAATCTGATATCACGTCATTTGAATCCTGAAGTGAACAAACGAGCTTCCTTGGAGTAGTGAAAATATTTACACCATCGATATTAATGTGAGACTGTGTCCTCTGAAACATGAAACAAAGTAATATATGCATTATAAGAAAGATTAGAATAATTCTAAAATTTCCATCTAAATTTCTATTCTAAATGCCAGAGAATATACATTCAAGCAAATTTTCAATTTTGCTAAATAAAAAAATGTATAACTTCTGGAAGAAGATGCTTGCCATACTGTTCAAAATTCAAACAAATGATGCACTGGAGCCTAAAATAAATTTTCTTTGAAATTTAGTTAAATTTGCCTCAGACAGGATGCTCTCTTTTTCACAGAGTTATAGCAAATTATGGCTCTCCATCTGATTCAAACAAGTATTAGCCCCTGTTTGGCCCCCATTACGTGGAAAAAGTAATGATTGGAATAGTATTTTTTTGAAAAATAAATGGTTGAAAATGAGGAAAAAATTTCGATTTACGTGTAATATTATTTTATGAAAGATTGTGTAGTTGAAAATAGAAAAAAGAAAAATGAAATGTAATATAATGAAAATTAATGGGGCTTAAACAGTTGCTTAAAAGCTATTGAAAGTCAAAACTCACATGAGGACTGGGAGTAGAGCTTCTGACAATTTCATTTTCCAAACTTCCTTGCAGAAACCCTGCAAAATTTTCAGATGAATCTCCAGAGTCATCAGAAAAGTCGCCGTGCTCAGAGTTTATGATGGGACTTCCTGGAGTTATCTCAGAAAATATTCCATCTTTTAGTGATACATCTATATTCTCATGCCTTCGCCAAAGTTTACGGTTCACACTCCTACGATCATAGGACCCGAGTTGAGGGACCTGGTTCATTGAAATGGGTGATTGCATAAAATAATCATATCCAAAAGCAGAATCAACAGTTTGTGACTCTGGTGATGCAGTGGGAGGCGACTGTTCTCTAGAACCACCCACATTCCTCCTCCTGATGTTCTCTCTCCTCTCTGAGTTTGAGCCAGTGATTGAACCCTCGTCCCTCTCAAGCTTTGAACCATTCTCGACACATATTCTCTTTGCAGTTTGCAGTGCTTCAAAAGCAGCCCCAGTTACAAAGGGCATTCGATCAGACTGGCACTTCTCCATCTCCTTAATTATCAAATCCAATTCAGAGAATATACTCTTGGCGTCCAAACATCTCATCAGAGAACTCACCATATGAATGGCTGAGAACTGTTTTTGAGTATTTCCCTCCATAAAACCAGAATTCAGGATTTGCAATCCAGACGTTATCAACAGTCTTGAATAAGCTTCAACAGTCAAGCTATTGTGTTTAGCCAAAGCCATAACTAAGGCCATATGTGAATTGGTCTGTGCATGTTTCTCCAAAGCTCCAGTAACTCTCTGACAGACCTCATTCACCATCTCATTTGAAGCAAATCGCCAATTATCAGATTCCACAAGTGCCTGTAAGCAAAGAGCAGCTCCAGAAGAAATATTCTCTTGGCTACCCAAAAGAGAATTAGATAGGGGTCTACAGAGAGAGTGGATTATATATCTCTTCTTGTCATTTGCTGTTGTTGGGTCCATTGCATACCTCGCAATAGCTGGAACAACCTTTGAGCAAGCCTGGTGAAGAGCAAAAGATCCTGCACTCGAGGACAGGGTCTTGATAATGGTAGTCATGATGTTATCTATTTGAGGGACTATATTGGGTCCATGGACACGAGCAAGAACTTCATAAAGTGAAATCGTATGCTCGCCCGACGATGCCCCATTTTCTTTGGTTTCAGAAACCTGAGCAAGAAACAGAGGTATCGCTTTGGAATCCAAGTCTTTTACAAATGATTTCAACGTTTTCATAGCTGACCTTCTACTGTCAGCATCCTTGTCGAGATTCTCCAACTCCCTTTGAAGTATTGGGCTTAGACTTAGACTCCTTCCCATTTTCTGTAATTCAATTTATGTGAAAATCAGTCAATAAACTGAAATCAGCATCCTAAACTACCAAAGATTATACTTTATTAATTATGCCCAATATCATCTCAAAACCAGCAATGACCATGGTTAAATTATTTAGTCAAAATTTCCGTATCTTGGGCATGTGGATTTGAAAATCTTGGAAGAAATCATATTATTGGAATGGGAACAAGGAAAAAACCAACTTCAATTTAACTCCAGTAGAGGAGTTAGGTCGTGCATTCAACATTAATTGGCGAAAAATTAGAAGAATTGTAAATTAACAAGTCAGAAACTCGGCAAAAATGATCTCCTTTCAAGATCCAAGAAATGAAGCCTTAGATGGTTAAAGATGAGTAAAGTCTTGAAACTACACAAAAACTGAAAAATGGAAAATGGGAAGCATTTTGTTTTGCTAAAAAATATTACCTTTATTCCAAGAATCAGCCTCCGTCTACCCTTATTATTTGTTTCTCCCTTTGAATAGAGAGAATATGAATCCTGTGGTGTGAAAATATAAAATGAGTATTTAGAAGGGGGAAATGAATCTCAAATAACAGGGCAAAAATGAGCTCCTGCGTTGTGCAATGTAAAATACTGAAACGGGTGTATTTGGTGCAGTGTGATAATTTTCCTTTTAAATTTTGGGGGGCAAATTCCATTTCGAATCTTTTTCTTTATTCCCCCGCTATCCTCATTTTGTCCTCCTCCTTCCAATAAGTACAAAAAAAATCAAATAATTCAAAAAAAAAGTCAAATCAAATAATAATAACAACAAGAAGAATAATAATAAATAGTCGTCTTCCTCGGCCCACCATTCGCATTTCTTCTTCTATCCCATCACCAAACCATTGCGTGCAATAGAAATACTAACATTCATATACATTTCTAGAGAACGAGAATAAATGAATTACAAAATAAGAAAGAGAGAAAATCAAAAGAAAAATGTTATTGAGTACCACATAGAAAATGAATTACAAAATAAGAAAAATACATATTTGAGCCATATAAACTGGAGTTATAACTCCAATGAAGTTAAATAACATTACTCAAATCAAAATTAGCAACAATTGAGCAAGCCACTACAAATATATTAATAAGCATTATCTATTCAATGAAATCAGCAAATAAGTGTGTGTGTGTGTATCTATATATATAGAAATAATCTCCTAAGCACCGGTGACATGACACACTATTTAATTGGTGAATCATTAAATACATGAGACTTACCATTAACTTTTTTACTAATTAAATGGTGTGTCATATCACCGATACTTAACATAAATTAAGCACGGTACTTGGAAAATCATTTCCATGTATATAAAAGATTAAGGTTGTAAACCATTAACACAAATTTTTTTTCCACATCGACGAGCTCTTATACACTTGGACAAATTGTTAGTAGCTCAAGACCTTCTCCGATAGTAGGAGAGATGGCTACAAGCACTTCGACGATCAAATTAGATAAATATAATAGTATATTTGAGTGTGGGATGATCAATAGATGTAAGTTATGTTAGTGTACGGGCACCAAGGGTTTACTCGATAATGGAAACGAAAGAGAAACCTTTTTTTGAGTAGGTAAAATTGCATTTCCTTCAAATAATGCTAATCTCCTATTTGGGCTCCATTATAAATAGATTTTGGAGAAAATATATTTTGGAATAGTGATTTTTTACAAAATGTGTGGTTAAAAAATAATAAAAAGTTTTGAATTTATGTATAATATTATTTTATTAAAGAATATATAATTGAAATAAGAAAGAGAAAAATGAATTTTTCTAAATTGAGCCTAAACAAGAGCTAAGTGTGGGCTTTTATAGTAGAAGATGAGGAGTTATCATCGTTGGATCAAGAGATACGTGGCATCATCCTAATGACCAATGTGTCTTCTTCTAAGTGCCACTCCATCAATCATAGGTTGATGGACATTTAATATTTTCTGAAAGTGGCCACCCTAGAGTCTAAGTCTAACCTCTAAAATATAGACTGACAATTTGATTTTTTAGATGCTTATTGCAGAGATGTCACATCAATTAGTCACAGGAGGATCTTGTACAAAAGATCTCTTATAAGAAGTGAAGTGGGAGGTACTTCCAGTCAACCAAAACGCTAATTTTCAAGGTGATTCATTGTTGAGGTAATGCTCTGGCTTGGAATGTTTTCATATAATGCGTGAATTTACAGTGAGGAAGTAATATTTTGATATCTTGTAAAGCAGCTATGCAAACGATTTTTTTTTTTTGATATCTAGGTATCTCAGCTTATACCAGACTAAATTCTGGACCCCCAAGACCCTTACCCCTAGAACCTTGGAGGGGGTAAATTGCGGGTTATGTCTCAACTGGATCACAGGTTCCCCCCATTGCCTGTACACTTCTGCGCACAAGAGACCCTCCTCCAAAGTAATTGCTCCATACCAAATTTTTGACCGCAGGTGTCCATCAGGAATCGAACTCTCCACCCTGCCGCTGGAAGCAAGACAATGTTGATTGATCCACCAGTTGAGCTGTGCCCGGGAGGGCGCAAACGATTTGTTTTATAGGTGAGGTCTTAGTGTAAAGGACAAAGCTCTAAAAAATAGGCAGCTTGATAAAGCTATGAGATAGAAGCGAGGTCCTAGTATAGAGCATGAGGCTCGATAGATAGGCAGGATGATGAAATTGCGAGATAGAGGTGAACTTTGAATGGTAAGCAACTTTATGAAGCTGGGATGCAGATGCGAGGTGGTGCAAGAATTCGAATATTACAACATATGTGATTTTAGGCATCTGAGTTGATGAGAAATTCTTAGGTATTCTGCTAATGAATAATGATTCAAAAGCCCTCACATGTTTCCAAGAAAAACAACTGAGGCATCGCCTATTTTAAAGACAAGTGTCTCCTAGGTCATTATTGTTAATTGTGGCATATAGCTATGCAAGTTCGAGGTCACACGATCATATGCACATTTGAGATGCATCGCCTCATCTACGCCCTTCATCATGTCTGATGCTTCATTTCAACAATTCTAATTAACTGATAAAAGGATGGCCAGGATCATTCTTGATTTAACCCATTGACTGAGGATTGTTTCCTCTGCCCATAAAAGGCCACATTCCCTCACATTGCAAGTATTTACTTTGGAAAAAATTTGAAATCTCACCTATACACCGCTTCTTTGTATTTTCCAGCGATTTACTTGTATTTGTCAGTGGTATTCATCATTTTGGAAATTTTTCTTCCTAGAGATGAGCATTTTTAGTTTTTGAAATAGATGCTAACCAAGAAAAGAAAGTTGCCGAAGTTTGAAACTGTAGCATTAACAGATAAAAGCATTATAAGATTGCAAAATAAATTGCCTCTAAAATTGAAAGATTTAGGAAGTTTTACTTTGCCCATTTCGATTATAAATTCTTGTTATATTAATGTTTTGTGTGATAAAGCTGCTAGTCGAAACTTAATGCCATATTCTATTTACAGTAAATTAAGATTAAACAAAGTCAAATCAATATCAATAACGTTACAGCTTGCTGATAGAACAATTTCATGTCCACGAGGCAAAGTTGAGGATGCGTTCATAAAAGCAGGAAATTTAATATTTTTAGTGGATATCATTGTGTTGGACATAGAAGAATATTGAGACATTCCAGTTATATTGGGTCGATCATTCTTAGTAACAAGCCGAACTTTGATTGACATGGAGAAAGGTAAACTAATATTGAAGGTGGATGTCAAGGAAGAGATATTCAATATTTATACCACATTTGAGCAACCATCCAAAATCAAAGATTATTGTAGAATTGATGAAAAAGAACCACTTGATCAATGAGAAAGTTCCAATAGAAGAGAACTTGACGGACCTCTAGGTAGAGAAAAAAAAATGACAATATCAAAATTTGAAGAGCAAAAAAAGAGTAATAAATGAAAATTGTACGAAGTGAAGGAATAACATAGCCTCATTCGAGCCACCATAATCAATTAAGGACCAAAGTCGAGTTTTAGACTATAAATCAACAACTAACAGAAGATAGCCCAATTTTCTAAACTCTAAGCTATTTAATTTTCATAATTGCATTATATATAGAAAATAGGATTGCAAATTAATATATAACCATGTTTCTAGGTTTTTCTTAATAAAATAAAATATATAAATTTGGGAGTTGACCACGGTCAATCGTGGGTTTTGTAAACCGCAATTCTAAAATATCCTTGTATACCACGAGTCATCCATGGGATTGCAACCCGCAGTCAACATAGTTAGAAAATTGACTTCAAGTTTGGGGCTTGGATAATTCGATTTTTTGGCACCATTATGTGACTAGTTGATTGAGTTGGGATTAGGATTTGATGCAGGAGTTCTTGGGTTGTGATTGTGTGAAAATTATGGATCAAAACACATCAAGAAATATTAGATTTAAAAGGGAATTTTCATTGAACATAATGTGTTCGATGAAATTACTCAATAAATCGACTGATTTTTTTTAGCACTAGCTTCGCATGATGCATTCTTGCATTGATATACAATAGTCATGATGATTATTATAAAATTTTAAATTGTTTATTTTGATAGAATATGTTAAATTAATTTTGAACTTGGTTGACGAACCAAAATCATGATTAAAAACACTACTTTACCATTTGAATAGGAAGATATTTATATGAATGGGGATTTCATGTGGTATTTTTTGTGTGGATTGTCTAAGGTTAATAAGATAAATATTGGGTGAAAATTTTAAGTTCGGGATTAGTTCTTGGGAATGAATGTTTAATAAGGGGTATTACACTAATTATTGCAAAAAAAAAAAAGTTATCTTGTTGTAAAATGTCTCTTCGTAGCCTTTATGACTTAGGTGATTAAACTCGTAAGGGTATTTAAAATCTGATACCCTATAGTCATCTAATTTGGAAGTCATCAACCAAAAGTTCGATACAAGGGTTATTTAGAAAACTTAATGAAGACACACTACTTGCATTGGTTAAGCCTTGAATATTTATTTGAAAGAATTAGACATTTAACAATTATTAACCTAGTTGATTGTTAGAAGTTGAAGCAATAAAAAAATTGAAGAATCCTTATAATTGGTGAAGTCTCAGCCAAACTTAATTAGGAAAGAAAGAGTGTTGTGAAATTATTCTTAGAATGAACATTTCAAGCGCGTGATTGAAAAATAAGTTTGGGAATGTGCATCACATGAGAAAGAAATGAAATATTTTACTATAAAGGTTCGGGAAATAACCAACCTTAGAGCTCATGATTATTGAATTAATTATGTACATACACATCGATCAAACATTGAATGAGTAAAGAATTAGTTTTATTTGCATTATTTATTATCTTGAGCGAATATCTACTTAATTTATGTTAAATTTGGTTAATTGTAAGTAAAATCCAGATTGAACAAGTTTGAATGAATTCGATTAAAGTTGTACAAAATTGAAGTACTACAGACCAAAATGATCAAGCCTTGTAGTAGAGAACCAGCCATCCAAAATAAAGAGGACTTGGGATGTATAAGAACTTAATATGGAAAACCAAAATGCACTTAACTATAAAAAATTCCAACTTTTTGTTGGATTCTTAATTACACTCAAATTTCACACTAAAGATGCCTTAGGACTCCTTTTTTGTTAGAGCC